GAAGATATGCTAAACAATTCTTAGAACATGTAAACTGGTTTGGGGAAAAAGTTTGGTATGCATAAGCATCTATGAATATGCAAAGGGCTGATGGAATGAAAAGGTATTTAAGGGGCATCCCTGAAGATAACAGGGTGCTCTTGGCTGAGTAACAACCTTTGCACTGTGGTCCTTGCCTCCTGTTGTCCTTTGTTAAACTTTTTACATTTTCACAGGAGACTGAACCTGTTTTTCACAGTGGACTTGACTGCCTTGCCTGAATGCCTCCCCAAGCAGCTTTTCCACAGGAGGTGCTTATTGGGGATTATAGGTAGCAGCATGCACCATGCAAACCCCACTGTGCCACACCACAGCCCTGGGAGGGGCTCACAGATCTGCTCACCCACAACCAGCCCTGAGGGTGAGGGCACTGACAAAGCTCAGTTTCTAAGCAGGGCAGCACAACTCTGACCTAAAGTGAAACCCTGGACTGTGAGGGGCCTGGAGACTCCACTGGAAGAAAGGCCAGGTGGTCACACCTGAACCAGCCTCTGTGTGTGAGCAGTTTCTCTGTGCCAGGACAAGTGACAGCTCACCTGCTCCAGAGACAAGAACAGCCACCTTCACCTTCCTCCTCCTGGGCTGGGGCTGGATCTCAGCAGTGCTGGAGTCCAGCAGCTGCTGGGGGCTGCTCAGCTGCAGGGCTTCTGCAAGATTCTCCACTTCAATGCGAGAACCTGCTCCAAACACATAGGGAAAGGGTTAGATTTTACCTTTCCATTAAACTGACTTTGTGTAGTTTATTAATAATGTTTCAACAGCAAGAAATTCCATCAGCAGTGAGTTTATGCTGGCACAGCTGGAGCTCCAGAGGGATTCAGTGCTTGAACCCAGGTCCCAGGAGCTGTGCTGGCCTCTGGTGCTCACAGAGTTGTTCACAAAGGCCCAGGCATGGCCATTTCAAGGATTAGTCCCATCATTATATCTCTCATGTTACAAAATGGTGCTGACAGAGCTGAGGGGACATTTTGGCTGCCCAAACTGTTGGGTTTCCAGAGGGATTCTGGTTCATGTCCTGCTGGATGCCAGCCAGTGCCACGCCAGGGTTCAGCCTGACCATCACCACATGTGACTGTACAAAGCTGTGACCTGTCCTCAGCCTTTACACAGATCTGTGTGAGCTGGGGAGGGCTGGACAGGAGGGGAGGTGGTAAAATATCCCCTGATTTTTGGAACAATCAGCACAGGGATTCCCTGAAGCCTCAGGGAGGGGAAGAGGTGATCCAGGTGCTGTCACTCTGAAACAAGAAGTCATTTCTTATTTATTTAATACTGAAATGTAGATGTGGAGGTGTCCAGCAGCCTCCAGCCTAGTGAAACAACAGGAAAGTGGTGTGAACTACACAAACTTTGCAACAGGGAGACTCTTCAGTCCCACAAGGACACCTGCTCACCTGTGTGACAAGGGGCAACCACCCTCCCAATCAGCCAGGCCTCCTGCTGCCTCTGGATGTCCTGGAGAACGTGCTGGGCCAGCTCCTTCTGCACCACCAGGACAGCCCCAATGCCACAGGGAAGGCTCTGGGCCATCTCCTCTGCAGAGAGGTTCCCCTCCTTGTAGAGCCAGCCAAAGATTTCAGGGATCTTCCAGCTGAGAGCATCTGGGAAAGAATGAAATTGCTGTGTGGGCAGCACAAATGTTTATTATTATTTATTATTTACTGTCTGCAATGANGGAAAATGAGCTGCTGCTGGGTTACTTTTTTAAACAAACACCATCTGGAATTCAGAAGCAGCCTCTGACAATGGAAGTGACCTGGAGAGGGGCTCACCTTGGCTTTCAGGTGCTCACTCACCTACATAGGCTGCTCCTTCTTGTCTCAGGCTGTCCACGATGTGCTGGAGGATGGCACCCCTGATTTGCTCCAGAAGAGCCTCTGGGACCTGACAAGCAAATGAGAGCCATGAGGCAGTGGTGGCATCTGCTGGCCCTGCTGGAAGGACTGGGCAGGGCTGAGGAGCTGCCTGAGATGTTTGCTTAAATATTTTTCTCTATTACAATTTTGCTGCTTTTTCTTTATTACAATTTTGTACCCCCAAGCCCTGCTCCTTCCCTTGGAGCAGGGAACAGGCAGCAACATAAACTGCGTGTTCTTACAGAGCAAAACCAGTCAAAAAGTTGGTTTTATTAAAAAAAACCCCACAGTTCCACGAGTTTATCTCATGGAGCACTTGCCAGCAAGGACAAGGAGTCTGGGAACAGAACCCACAGGCAAAGAAATGGTACTGTTCTCCTTTACTTATGGATATTTGACCAGAACCTTCCAAATCATCCTCAGAGAGTGTTTTGCTGGCATCTGTCTGGGTAGAAATGATTCTCAGCCCTTAACTAACAGAAAGATTTTAAAAAATATTTTTCTTTATTANCACCCCAAAATTAAAGAAAAATCCCAGAGGAGCAGAAATGTGGGACCCAGGAGCCACCACAGGACACATCCCTGCCCTGGGCCAGGAAAGCTGTGCTCTCTCTGGGAGCTGTGGGGAGTTTGTGCAGGGTTTTCCTGCATGAAATCTCAATTCACAGCCATTTCCTGCCTGGATTCCCCCCTTTCCCTGGCATTAAACCATCAGTGCTGATTTTACCTTGCTATCTCCCACTATTCCATCCTGCCCACTCCACACAATTCCCTGGAACTGCTCCACAAACACTCACGGGGCTGCTCTGACACAGGGGAGCAAAACTGTGCAAGGTTTGGAGTTTGTTTGGTTTCCTGTTTGGAGGGAATGATAAGGGAACAGGAGGAAGTGCTGCCATCACCTGGGGAAACGAGAACCAAGCACAGTTTGTTTAAATTCTTATTTTGATAAGGGGACAGGAGGAATTGCTGCAATCACCTGGGGAAACGAGAACCAAGCACAGTTTGTTTAAATTCCTATTTTGATAAGGGGACAGGAGGAACCTCTGCCATCACCTGGGAAATGAGAACCAAGCACGGTTTTCTCTTTGCTACAGGCTCAAGGGATTCTTTCCCCTGGCCCTGCTACAATGGAAATCCAGACCCTTTGCATCCTGTTTTAAGGAATACTCAGGAATAAAAGGTTTGTAAAGCCATTAAGATCAGAGAATCGCAGAATATCCTGAGCTGGAGGCGCACACAGGGATCACCCAGTCCCACCCCTGGCCCTGCACAGGACACCCCAACAATCCCACCCTGGAAGTATCATCCAAAAATATGTGATTCAATGTGAAAAAGAGAATAAAAACTAATAAACCCCATGAAACTCTTATGTGGAAGAAAATAACAGAATAATAACATAATAATAAAATAAATAATAATTATAATGATATCATTATAATGAATAAAAGAAATATAATAATATAATAAATAAATAAAAGAATAATAAAAGAATGGATTGGATTCCATTGGTTTGACCTTTTTTTTTTGTGATTAACAAGCAGGGGGTCAGAAACCCTGCCAGGGACAAGGCACCAGAACACAACATTGTCCCTGGGCAATGGAGAAATGGAGAATCTCTCTTTTCCCCAGAGAGAAAATGCCAAAAATTGCTGCCAGAACTGGGGAGCCCTGGCCAGGAGCTGACACCAGCTGAGGGTGGGACTGGCAGGGCAGAGGCTGAGTGGGATGGAAATGGTTCTGTACAGTTCCCTCTGGTTTTAAACACTGTGAACATCTCCATGAGATCCTGAACCAGGAGTACTGGGACAGAGGAGATGGATATTGGATACCTGCATG